ACGGGAGAATGCGATCAGCATGTTAATCGCGCACACTCTGAAGCATGTGTTTCATTCTTATTAAAAACTTGCATTATCTCCCCAAGTAATACAGATCATCGTTTAGTGGCGTCACACGTGTTGTAATTGAAAGATATAGATTCGACTGCTTATTTAACTAAAGACAGATCAGTACCATAACCGTAGTGCATCTTTTGGAAGATGAAACACTTCGCACTTCTTTCCAATTCATATGAAGCTGACGGTGTGTGGGGCCACGACTTTGCGCACTTTTCCGCTCTGCTACCACGTTCAAGATGCCATTCCAATTTCTTTTATGCTTGTCAGATAGCTTATTAAAAAACAAAGGACCAGCGTCGTTTTACGGCTTTCACATGAAGCAACAAAGTAGCATAACCTCAGTGAAGGATAGATTCAGACTATTTTTCACTAGATTGCTGTTTGATTTCGTGTTCACTTTAATGGATCGTCTTAATTATCACAACTTATCGATTCTTTGGATATTTAGCCACCCCGAACAGGGCCGATAATAATCAGAAAAATTGGCCCGCGTTTTGTAACCGAAAGTCAACCAAATATCCCTTTTTGTTTACTTATATACTATTAAGCAGATAAACTTGCGTAACGCACTTTTCTCGCAATGGGCTTTACAATGTAGTGCGGCCATCAGGTATGCATTCAGCTCAAATTTGAGCTTCCTTGCTCAGGTAGCAACCAAGTTGAACATTTGTTTACGTCCACCATGGATGTAGGGACTCTTAGATTTGACTACCTGCCAGTTTGTAGTTCTTCTTCGGCTACGAATGATGACAAAATATTCCTGTTATTGAACACACTGTCTTATTGACAAAAGCAATGCGCCCGTTTTTAGCGCTATACATTCACGGTTGCGAATTATCACACTTCAGCAATGTGCGCCACCTGTAGTAGCACCTACTTATTGTAACGAGTCGACCTAATATTGGTTACTATACTCAAGATGCTGGGTTGTCGAACTCCAAACAATGTCGCGAATACCCGCGCACTTTAGAGCCTCTCAAACCTGATCGGGTTTCACTTAGCATGCTGGCTGCGTATCACGATAACGATGCGTTTTTAGACTATTTTCGATTCATTTACTAGTTTACCACATCGACCATTGAATGGAGTCTAGGAATCAGCGGCAATCCAACGCATCAGACCACCTGATAAATGTGCGCAAATTGCACTGGTATCTCACATGTGAGTCTGCATAAGCGTTTGACGCGAATAACATGCAGCAAACTAGCTCGCATGGGTTGATACACTAACAGACACTTGTCCAAACATTTGTTGGTTAAAGACAAATCGGAAACTGGTGTCGGTGCTTTTGCCACTATGGTGCGGTGGTGTACGCATAAGTTCATTTAATTGGTCCGCTGGATGACTTATTAATGGGTTATCGTTTAACACACTTTGAGGCACGGGAAAAATTAGGCTCAAGAATCTATTTAGGACAAGAAACTAGCAATGGATCCCAGATCTTGCCAGTTGCTTATAAGTAAGTTGCGCTGGCAGAGGTGTCACAGTATGGAGTGGGGGTTATATTATTAAGATGTTGACTCAATTAATAATTTTGTTCCTAATGTAGCAGATATTTACAAACAAGCATGCTCTTTTATTTTCCCTCAAAGTAGGTCTTTTATGTTTAGGAATATAAGGAATCGTGAAGACTAGATTGCCATCAAGTAATCCTATTAATGAACACAACAGCTCTTAAGCAAAATTATTCCGTGCATAATTAATCGGCGAAAATCAATGGATCTTGTACCTGTTATCATCTAACTGCCTAAATGACCTAGAAAATTGGCTTTATCATCTATCAGAAACGGCTGAATGTTCCAAACTATTTGCCTGTCAGGGATGTCCAAACTCCGGCCCGCGAGCCGAATGCGGCCCGCATTCACATTTCAACTGGCCCGCGGCAGCAGCATGAAATAATGAATTCATGTTTGGACTTTTTCATACATGTGTAATTTTTGTTATTATAATCGGACTGAATATGGCTCCACATATTTTTACCTCGCAATATGTGGCCCTCCTTGCAAACAGTTTGGACACGTCTGGCCTATGTCAAATCACAATCTTTGCCTAGCTCAAATTTCTTTCAGGAAGCTAAAGAGTCCCGAACAAGAATATCGAGTAAGTACTGCGATTCAGTTATCGAAGAGCTTCATCACAGCTAATCTGAATGAAAGAATAACTACACATTTGATAATGAACTAAGCAGCAGTTCAAATTTTGGGAATGAACAAAAATGCAAATACTATCTGTTCACTGTTTGACACTAACCCACAACCTGAGGATTACGTTACCGTAATTGTGACCACAGGACCAAGAGGATGAATAGGATCTGTAACTAACTGTGACAGCGCTTATACTCATCCTGCAGTGAAATGCGCTCTTCCAAAGTACATTCGCATCATCCTCTATGCACCAATTAAACCAGTAGTTTCATGGTGCGCGGTGTCAGTAGCGTGAGTATTAGAACCATGTGGAAACAGTGTGTGACCTCAGATTTTTATGTATTTATTTCAATTCCAACATCTGCATTTCTCTCACAATTCAGCCCTCAGTCGGTGCATCTAAAGTTGACTTGGTGTCCATCGATAATCGAGCAGGCGTTTCACCACAGCAGGTGGTATACTCACCCAACACTTATACGTACAGTCAACTTGAAACGGAGACGAATACGGAGCGAGAACGCCGATTACAAGACGAGTTACTTAGCACAAAACGGGAGTTACAGGCTCTTAAACGCTCGCGCAGTCTCTCAGGTGAACAGGGTGGATTACTCCCGTCTTCCACGAGGCAGAAATCCACATCCACGCAGTATTTAAATCAGAGTTCTTGGACAACACACACTTTGATGAAGTGAGTTCAATTTGAAGTCCGGTTTGGAGTAGTGCAGTTTGTTGCTATTAGCGTAGCAAAGAGCTGCTTTTGCACGTATTAAAACGGCACATTTTGTAGGTTTTTCGACGGTAGTTATTACTAAATTGTACAACAGCTGGCTTATGGTTGACGCAGGAATAATTAATCGAAACACATTCTTTTATACTGACGAACCTTGCGTTAGTGCAGATGGTCAGCACTCCAAGACCCAATAATGAACTAACCGCTGCGTCAAGCGCTGCTGTGGAGCTCTGGCCTAGTAACCAAGAGGAAAACCGTCAAGCACTGTGTTGGGCTCACCTCACAACTCAAGCTATATTTACCTGACGAGTCCAAATCAGTGCGAAACCGGTCGGTCGTGGAGTGCAGTGTTGGGAGAAAGCAGCTCCAAGACTGTCCACTTCGGATGTGGCCCCAGTGGTCGAAATGGCATAGCGTTACTTCAGAGCAAACTGTAACCTCAATCGAGATTGCGTGTCGCAATCCAGTCACAAGCGGTTACTCCAAGGCCTAATAATAAAACTTAAATAATTCAACGATTCATTCGGCTAGCAAAACGGATCAGGATTGAACAACGTTGATAGAGTTGTAAGGAATAAAATATCAACAACTATGGGCGCCCAGGAGGAATTCTTACGAATATAGCTCTTTGTAGATCTAAAATCGTCGAAGATCAAATTGGAGGTTGGTGAGAGTGGATGATGTAATCCCGGAAATACTTGTTGTCGTTTCCCCATAATATAGTCCCAAAACAGCATCGAAGTACACCTAACATAAAATAATTATTTTACTCGGTTATGCATACTTCTTTCCATTATTGAAGCTCGAATCTTTGACTTATAAGTACACAGAATTAAAGCTCCCAATAAATACGTCATTTATGTTATCGAACGTCTATTTGCTGCAGCATTAGAAGTAATGCGACGGAAGCAACCGCGAATGTTCCTGTAACTTTATAATGAAGTTTACTTCAGCTTTATTAGCTCTTCTTGTGTTAAAGTAAAACTAGATTTTGTCCCCGCACATTAGCTTTTCACTCGTACGGAAAGTCCATGTCAAATACTCAACTAATCAACCACCCTGTTATCCAATCCCCAGGAACGACGGACTACCTTGTGGGGCCCGGTTCGCCGGTAAGTTGCTTTCTTTCTAGCTATTACCTGCACTGAAGAATGAGTGTGCAGTTTAGTTAGTATTTCGGGAAACGGATTAGAAAAATGTGTAAATCGCTAATCAGACAATGTGGTGTTACTCTCAGAAGACTTCACGCTTTCGCCCAGGTTCCAGTGTCTACTACGTGGTACTATTGCTAAGTGACCCCTCTGCCACATTTCCATCTCACACGCACCCAAAAGCAGGTACGCATGTATGCACGCACAAACGCTTGCATTCAAACACAGACCCCACTTATGTGCATACTTTTGATTCTGCACTTGCACGCAGTTCCGCATGAATTGTGGATTTCACATATTATCACTCCTAAATCAGCTCTGAATTGCAGGTCATCTGACAGCACAATAACGGATCACTCTGGAAGTAACATGGTGAGTTTAATCTATCTCGTGGCAACTTATGATATCTAAACTGTGCCATTCATTTTGCTGAAGATTTAGCTCTAAATGTTGACAATTTTTGCTTGCTATGTGATTTATTATCCGTGTGTGGAATTCGCACTGTTTAGCTGATTGCATCGATCAGGACTACAACACTACTCGATTTATTCGGGCCAGACCTAGTGTGAGCCTGATGGTCATCTCTCTTTCGTATCTCCGAGAAATATGCTAGAGGAGATTCATAGCGCATCTCTACAACATTTATATCGAAACACCGCGGTGAATGCCCGTGGGACAAATTCTAGCCCACCTACAAGCAAATGAATACGATTTGCACCACTGAAGATTATACATTTGTGCTCACGCACACACACTGCACTAGCGCACACGCGCTTCGTTGATATATCAGCGGCAGTCAGAAGTGCGTGCCTCTCTGATTCGGTTTCTGAAGCACACATACACCAATCGTCCCTAAAGGCTTGTGCACGTGCCGCTTGGCAGGCTATTTATCATTGATCGATCTGGCAGCGGTGTGTGTAGCTTGGAACGCAGTAAGAATGAGTTTACCTGCTGAGTCGGATTATTTTTTACATAACTCAAGCCGGCAGGATGAATAGAACGAACACAATGTCGTGAGGATACGTGTAATATCTGAAAACCCAGCATTCTGGCATTGCACCCCGCAGTCAAATGTGGATCTCATGATTGGAGAGAACGGTTCCGTTATGACGGATGTTCAGTCTAACGAGGGTCCTACCGAAGTAGCACACAGTTTCCCGAGACATCATAAGGTGAGGCCACTAAACATTGAATGGGACGGACGTATTGGATATCGTGTAACGCAAAAAGTTCCAAATGGGGGGCATTCATTCCGCCACAGAATCCCACCTGCACATGTGAAACAGCACTCCGGGAACCTTTTTTCTGAAACGAATGCGGAGCCGATAGCTCACAACCTTAGTGATTCAAGACCGGAATCGCCCGTGCTCCTCATTGATGAACTTGAACCTACCCCGCTGCACCAACGGTCATGGACAACCACACCCACAAACAAGCGTTATGAAGAAGCGGATTCCTCCCCGCGAAGGATAGCGCTGAAAAATACGTCTAATGATTCCAACGACTATTCTGAACTAAATGATCATGCGAATAGACAGAAATTAATATTATTTGACGCTCCGCCGTCACTGAAAACTGGTGCGATCAAACCGCCTCACGGTCGAGTTGAGCCTTTCTATGTCGACGGCTCGAAGATATTTAGCAGGCGACCTACACCAGTAGTAGTTGAAAGACGCTACCGGCCAAGTCCTTCTTTGTCTCCATTAAGGCGCACGGCTACTCTCCCGGTACATGGAACGGCGGCTAGGGAGAAAAGCAAACTCGATGAAACCTTCCATATAGCCAAGGATTCACTTAGAAGACACCAAGTCGCGAGGTTGAACAGAAGCTATGAGCGGAGCGAGCATCGACAATACGAAGTTCAGAAAAGTGAGTGATGTCGATCAGTTTAAAATCGATATTCAAGGGCATTATCCTTTACTAACCACAATAACGCTTGAATTATTTTTAGTAGTATCCGACAGATACAAGATTGTGCAGACGACACATTTGTTAAGCGGACCCACAATATTCCTCATCACTTTGCCTGACGAATACATACTTGATCGCATGAATTACCCTCCGTATTACATACATTCTATACACTAGATCCAAAGGAATAAATTGATGGAACTAACGTACTGACTACCGCAATCCTTTACGGTTTCTTAAATTAGCTGATTGATGATAAGTGAGTGGTTACGATGCTTTTGAGCTTGTAACAGCTACAGGATTATAGCATGTCGCCTGTCCGTCGTTGAGCATCTGGGACTACTAAATTGACTGAATGTGAATTGACCTTATTTTACGTAACCACTTACCGTAATAACCTTGAACCCTCTGGCATTCCTGAAACATTTGACTTGACACTTTTTCGTCTAAAATTGTATTAAACCTAGTAATTAAACTTTGTTCTGTGACCTCACCCGTACTACAGTGAATAGTATTTTAGCTTCTTTCGTGTGAAATTAAGTGCAGCATTGTAAAAAATCGGAGCGCACTAACAGCCATTTTGTGATGTCACATCCTGTCAATTAACCTGTCAAGCTATATGCTACTTTTGCACTTACCTGAGTAGTTTCATCTTTTCCTTGTCTTTAACTCCAAATTAACACTGTTCTTATCGTACGTGGTACGGAAGACTACACTTTGCGATTCCTGTCAGTGACGAACTACAGTTGGCTGTCACACCAGATTTCTCGGTACGACCACGCAAACGTAGGCCCACACAACCGAATGGCGTTGTGAATTACGCAAGCATCCGGAGAAACTATGTCTATCTTTCAAAAGTAAATGCAATTCCTCATATTGTCTGCTCCATCAGCGTACCTACTGGATGGACATAAGTATCAGAAAGTGGCCTTTAACGTGCGCTTTATTTTCTATCAGGTTAGGGGACTCAGTACCCAGTTCCAAGGAATGAGATTAGTGGAAAAAGGAAATGTTAAAGAGATACACAAACGGTAGCTTGAATATGAATCTTGTGGAACTACTGAACAGCACATTTTTCATACCGTCCTCTCCCTGCTTTCCCCTCGTTTGATCACTTCAACCGGAAATTAAACTCGTTCAGTTTCCCAGCACTAAATACTGCCATAAGGTTCGACCATAAAAATTCAGTAATAAAGCCACAGAAAGTGGCAATAGTGTGCCGAGGCCAGTATATTTCAGATAAGGTTCGATTGTGCCCTGCTTCTGGTACCCTTTCTTAAATTTTCGTGGACCGCATTCCGTAGCCCTACCTAAGTAACCACTCTAAGTGCAATATCTTGAGGTGTTACTGAATTTTACTTGCAAACGCACTTTATATCTCGACCAAAGCAGCTTAGATTAGAGTGATGGAAATCAAATATCCACCATCAGATGCAACAATGTTTGCAAATTAGCATCTAATGAATGGCAATCGTAATATTTGGCTGCAATCAATTGGGTCAAATTCACATAAAAGGTAAAGCCGAAAAAATATTGGTTTTACGAACAAAGGCGAATAAACGTCCTTTCTTATAAGTAACACCTAAACCTTCGATTTGATTCTGGCCTGAGTTTAAATTTAATCGTAAGTAAGAGATGTAGATGCATCACAAAATTCAGTGAGATAACGCGAGTACTTTTAGATGTATACGACATGATATATTTGACATTAATGAGAGGAATACCTCGAAAAAGCAAGTATCTTATGGGTCTCCAGGAACTCGTAGAGAGTAGATCCATATAGCCACGTCGCCGAACGTGCATTTCAACATGTTTCAGTCGGGGAAAGGTGGGGCTATAAAATGAGCGGAGGTAACATGGTATCATTCATTGATGGTCAACCATGACATTTCTACAGGCTACCAAACGAACCGCAAGAACACAACTGTACTCAAGGGCACTTGTATGTTTATTATGGCACAATTATGGAGGTTGCATGAGGCTATATGTAGGGATAATCATTATGATGTCTAAGTAGCTGTGATCAGCACTGAAGTGCGATGGCGAGATAAATGGCCAGCCGAACATATAAGGGAGAAACATCGCATCATGCATTTTATTTCTCCCCCAAATCCAGCATCTAACTGCCCACTTTTTCATATTCTGGCTTCCTGCATATTATGATTGGCGGCATCAGGTTCCGGATTTGCCTTTCACTGTGGCTTCTATGCGGATAGCCACAGGAGTCGTGCGCCTACAGTGGGACTATGGGTGGCTTGCGCTGCATCAACCACAACTCCATTCAGGACCCCCATATCCGGTGTAAACCCGAAGGAATAAGACCGGGAGGCATGAGGATGAAAGCCACGTTACATCAACAGAGCCGGCCCACACTCCTTCACAGGCTAAAACAAGCACGCTGTATTTGGGATTCAAGCGCATATCAGGCAGGGGCTGGACCATAGTCCGCTCCAAACAGAGTGCGTGGAACTAATCTTCGAGCCTAGTGCGACCACGAGGACCGTGCACCCCGTCCCCTCCAGCAACGACCAACTGTCTCCTGGAGCCAGTATGGACGAGGTAGTGGGTAACATACAGGTAGGCACCTTGTCAACATACACATCAACGCAGCCACACCGGGGATGTCAAACAACAGCCAATCTCTTGAAACCAGAATAACAAATAATATATATATATATATATATATATATATCATAAAACATATGGATATGTCGACATAAGTCTTCACTAAACTAGCATACGTAATAAATTGGCTATCAACAAATACACGTTAACTTCGAGGTCAGGAAATATATTTTTTATAAATGCCGCAAACGCGAAAATGTTAACGAACTTAACCACAATTAGCTTAAGCGACTTGTGCAAATTAATAGAAGATTATTCAGGTGGACGTTACAATGAGGCAGAAAAATTAGGCACTAAGAAAAGATATCAAACCCACCAACTGAAATAAAGTAACTCGGTAAGCAAACACGCGGTTAGTAAATTGAATGCAGCGTACCTACCAACGCTGCGCCGATTCTGCTTACGTTCTCTGCAGGACTCGTCGTCGTTTCGATGCTGGACCTGAGTGGCCTCACTCGTGGCTCACTAAACCTGGCTGACTCAAACATTCGTGACTGCACCTGCTACTGCCCCATGCGCTCGAGGTCGACGGAGTACAGCCCATCGGCGCCTGTCGCTTCCGCAACTGTCAGTTCTACTCTGCATGCACGAGGGCTTTCTCTTGCACCTCGGCAACTGCTTTTATGATCAGAACGCGACATGCACGCCGATCCACCGTCTTCAATTCCCATGACCTGCAACCATTAGAAGGTGATGGGCTCACTTTGATCATGTCATGGTAACGTATTTCGGTTTTCCCGTGTGCCGTTTCCCTGCACTCACTTGGCCATAAATCAGTTGTTTCGGTCTCCAGGTCGAATCCATGCGGATGGACAGTATACCGTCTAAATTAACCTCGTATAATTCAGCCTGTTTCCTTTCAAGTCTCGTTGCACATTTATGCAAAGGTTAACCTAAAAAAAACTTGCCGCCGTGTGAACAGCTGAGTAAGCACTGATAATTTCATAATGCGTATTACTTGATGTTAATCAGCCGGGCGCCCTTCGGACTCCTAGAGGGTTTAAGTAGCTACACTGTTAGGGCTATACTATTGATATCCTCCTGGATATTTATGTCAGAACTCGATGAGACCCGCAACAGATTAGAACTACAAACAAACTGTGCTTGCTGTTCATCTTGCTAAAAGGCAGGCAGGTGCCTTTTGTCTCTTGTCCATTGTCGTTGCCCACGCAAAAGACCACTTTTCAGGTGCTAACCGAAGTAATTAAGGATATAGAAACCTTGGTGGCGCTTATGCCAGGTGAGGACTACTCACCTATATTGACGTTTGCGACTCCACAGTTTAGTCGTGCTATATGTCTGTCCAACTGAAGTAAATGATGATCAATTGTTCTTTACGAATTCTAGTTAGTTGAATATAACATACAACTCAAATGATCATGCTTAAGTTTTCCGACTTCATTTGGTTTGTAAAGTTGCGGATGGTATGTGATAAACAACGTTTGGATTTGCTCTATAACGTGTGTTATATGAACGAATCGATAACAACTGTGTTAGTGAAATAGCGTTCTTTATTTACACCACATTGGCTGTGTTATCTACGTTCTAAGAGAAACTACAAGAAACTATCCTGGCATGACATACAGCAGGATGATAATAGATGAAGCAGGTGTTAGAGTTTAATAGAATCATAAAACCTCTGTGACTTATTCCTTCCTTCATCCTGCAATGACTTTTCGTGATGCGTTGCTGCACATTTGCAAAAATAACTATGCAACTCTTTATAGTGAAAAGCAAATTCTTTCAATCTTTTGTGTTACAGTTCGAAATTGCCGTACAATTTTTCTTAGGAAAGCTGGACATTTGACGAACTTAAACTATGCACTAGTGATACGTCTCTACTAAGCTTACCGACAGAACAGTGTTCATTTTGTAGCTTTTGTAACGTTTGCTGAATAAGCGTTTTTACGAATGCAAAAACCTGCGAACAGCACTCTAATTTTGAAGTCATATTCTTTTTGAGCGTTCATTCAGCTTTTAAGTCAGAGGAAACACTTGTGTTCTACTAACTCGGCCACTCTAATTCAAAAACATTTGTTAGTATTCTTGAGCGCCATATTCACTCTTCAACATTTTGTGGATGTAGCACTGAATGTTGGAAGACACTGCATTTTGCATTCTTAGGAGTTGATAAAAATATTTCGTAAAAGTGTTTGTCCAACTTTTAAACTATCGCACATTCATGTACTTCAGTCTTAAGAACTCCCACTAGAATAAGTGGGAAGATTTTTGGAGAACTCGCTTTTGAATAGACTGCGACACTCAATCATAATATAAATCAAAAATTATGTCTTAGTCTTGCACCAGGCGACACCTAACATCTATCCGCCGGG